TTGAATGATTCTATTTATATGAAATATTCAGAACAAACAAATCTAGAGACAGAAAGTCCGTTACTGATTGCCTGGGACTGGGAGGAAGGGAAGTGACTGCTGATGTGTAGGGGGATTTTTTTGAGGGGTGATGAAAATGTTGTAAAATCAATTCTGATGATTGATGGTGATATAACTGTGAATATACTAAAAACATTGAATTGTACCCTTTAAGTAGGTAAATGGTATATGAATTATATCTCAATAAAGCTGTTTTTTTAAAACTTTGCATCCTATTAGTACCTACCTCATAGGGTTGTGATAAAAAGAAATAATGTATATAAAGTATTAGGTCATAGTCGGCACCAAGAAATGAGAATTTTTATCACTGTTATTATTAAGAGGAGGCCTGGAGACCCCTTACCCAGCCTATCAAGGGGGTCCTTGACCTTTGGACTATCACAGGTGACAGGTCCAACACCCACACACACACACACATACCCTTATCACCTGAGGTAGCTCTTTCAGTAGCGGAAAGGAGCTATTTTAAAGAACCTCAAGTCAAAGGAACTGAACCAGATCTAGAACTCTGACCACTTCTCTCACCTCCCTGCCCCTCACCAGCCGCCTCTTGTCAAGTGACCAGGCTGTCAGCTAGCGTCTCCAGGGTAAGGTTTCAGGTCAGCGGGAGTGTATAAAGATAGGTGCCAAGCTTAAGGCAACACAGACAACAGTGAATTGCAAGGGAGCAATCAGAGTCCTGCTGCCACCTCCTGGGATGGAGCCCTAAGGAGTCTTAAGGGGATCCTGAGCTTCCCCTACCCCATCTGGACCCACAGGTGAGACCCCATTCTCTACCCTACCCCCCTCCATGTTCTCCCCTTCACAACGGCTTACAGAGAGCAGCCAGGGACTGGCAGGATCACTACATGGCATGGCAGAGCTGATGGAGATTTAGGCCAGCCCCCACCTTGTCAAGATGAGGGAACTGCAGCCCTGATGAGGGCACTGTGGCAGGGCTGGGACTCAACCCCACCATGGTGTTACCCAAGACTCACCCCTTGCTCTGCTGGCTGCCTCTGCTATGATTTTGCACATCCCTGTAGATAAGAAGAGCCTTTCTCCTTAATCTGGCCCAGAATCCCTCCAGGATTCCTCCAGAGCATAAAGCCCTCTCCCCATGAGTGCCCTGGGGACCCCTTTCCTGAGTATGGATGGTGGAGGCATGTCTAGCATGAGGCCTGGCCCATGTTGCACAGAGCCCGTGAGAACTCTCCACCCAGCAGCTTCCTCAGTGGGGATGCTACAGAGGCTTTGCCAGGACGGTAGAGTTGGGCAGGGTGACTCAGAATGGGGTCCACTGACCCCTGCTTCAGAGACACCAAGGAACCAACCCAGACCTGAACCAGGATCTCTGGGGCTGAGATCCACTCTGTAAACAAGCAGCTCCAGGGATCCTGAGCTCTCCCTGAAGTTTGAGACTCTAGGCAATGGAACAGGCAGAGGTGTCAGACAGACCTGGGCTCTAATCCCAGCTCCTTCCCTCAGCCTCAGGACGGGCTGAAGCCCTCAAAGCCTCCAGTCCCTTGATAAAGTGGGAATAATCAGAGCAACTACCTTGAAGTCTTATAAAGGGATTGAGTTAGTCAATGCCTAGAAAGCCCTCAGCACGGTGCTTGGTGCAGGAAGCACCCAGCAAACATTAATGGGCACCATTAGCCCAGGCCATGCAGACTAGAACATCCTATCTCTCAAGTGCCCCAACAGAGCTACCTGGAGGAGAGTTTTGCTCTCAACTTCTTCTACCAGCCAGTGGCAAAGATCTGCTGGCTGCTAGGGCTCCTCAAGTACCAGTTCAGGAGGCTGGAGTAAAGAGGGAAGGAGGTTGAGGGGCACTGGCCTCAGGGCAGCTCTTACCTGTGCCCACTATTGTGACTTCCCTACCCCCACCCCAAATTAACCAGTGGAAGTTCTAGAGCCCACCCCGAAAGGTGTGGCTTTTGACCTGAGTCCATGCCTATCCACCGTGCCTCCAGTGGGCAGCTCAGAACTGTCTCTGGAATATGTCCCAGCTTCACCACAGGGCCACTGCTCTTGACCACATTCAGGCTCCAACACCTCTCACTGAACCATTCCAACCACCTTCTCGCTGGTCTCTGAGCCTCCCATCTCTCTCTTCCAGTCCAAACCCCTGCACCAGCATGCTCTGCATGCAGATCTGCTAGTATCACTCCTCAACTTGAAAACCACCAGCTACTTTCCACTCTCCCCTAGATTAAGTACAGCCCTGGCATTCAAGGCCCTCCACCAAAGGCTGCTGTGGGCATCTCAGATTTCATTTCCCATTTCCCCCCCTTCAGCAAGTAGGGTTCCTTGGTCAACTGGTTCTCCCTGGGCCCTTCCAGCCCTGGGCCATTCCTGTACCAGGCTGCACAGAGAAGCAAGATAAGTCAGTCCTGTCCCTGGCTTTGAGGTCCTCCATTTGGGGTAAACCATTGCAGTTAATGAGCTAATCTTACAAGAAAGTATATGGTATGGGACCAGAGGACCAGGGGTAGCTGAGGATAAAGGGAGTTCAGAAGGGAAGCCCTTGGTGGTTCAGCCCCTGGCCAGGGAAAAACAGGCTCCCCAAGGAAGATAAACCCAGTCTGTAAGGCAAATCCCACAAAGTGTTCCCTGCTGGCCCACACATCACACACGTACCGTGGAGTCACATAGCCCTGGTCACCTGTGACCTCAGACAGGTCATTCCCCCTGTCTGGACCTTAGTTTATAACTCTGAAAGTAGAGTAAAAATACCTAACTTGTAGGGTTCTTCTTTTAGAGCCTGGGTAGCCCCCAAAGGTTTTGAATAAGGGACACTCAGACTAGTAAGAGGCACCAGAGAGCACAGCCCCTAAGGGCCTCCCAGCTCTGAGAATCAGGCCGTCAGATTCCCCAGGCTAAGGTTCCAAGAAGCCCAGCCCAAGTCAAAGGAGGGGAGGGGCAGGGGAATGCCAGTGCTTACTGGAAGAGAGGCTAACAGGATGCTAGCACTGGGGGAGGCCTCAGAGTTCACATTCCAGCCCCAGGCAAAGGAGCCAGAACCTCCCTTCTGGGGACTAAGCCACCCCTGGCAGCTGCCTGTCTTCTGTAGGGCAAAGGGAAGTGTGAACAGAGGTAGGGGGAGAATGGTGTTCCCCAGCATGACAGTGCATGCTGTTCCCTCAGCCAGGCTCAGCTGCGCAGACACCCGGACCTCCACACCATCCTCCCAAGAAGCCATATCCTTCTTGGACCCTGTCAGGAAGGCAGTGTATAAAGGAGGGAAGATGGACTGTGGGAGGAGCACTGCAGAGGGAGCTAAGACCTGCCTGTGCAAACTGCAGAGGTCTCGGCTTCTTGGGGGGCCTTTTATTTCACCTACTAAACTGGGAAGATGCCCACCCAGCCTTTGAATGCCCTTAATAAAAAAGACAAGATCATGCCCTAGACACTTTTGCTCAGTGGTTAGAGCATCAGCCCACGGACTGAAAGGTACGGGGTTTGATTCTGACCAAGGGCACGTACCTCAGCTGCAGGCTCCACCCCCGGCCCCGTTTGGCTGGCGCCTGAGCAGGAGGTAACAATCAATGTGTTTCTCTCTCTCTCCCTACCCATCCACTCCCCCCACTTCCAGTCTCTCTGAAAAGCAATGGAAAAAAATACCCTTGGATGAGGATTATAAATAAATAAATAAATAAATAAATAAATAAATAAATAAATAAATAAATAAATAAATAAATAAATAAATAAATGCTTTTTAAAGGCAAGACCGTGGATATCCATTCCACCACAACCGCCAGGGTCCCTGACTCAAATGGGAAAGGGAGCTTAGTGCCGTCACAAGAACCTGGTTGGAGTTCTGTGAATTGAGCTAGTCTCTTTCCATCTTAAGCCTCTATTTTCTCATCTGTAAAATGGACTTAAATGCTCCCCTTCCTTCTTTCCAGGACTATTTTGGGCCCAGTATAGCAGAGGGAACCAAGTTCTGATACTAGTGGCTGGTAACACTGAGCAAGCACATGTCTCTGAGTCTCGGTTTGCTCATCTAAAATAAGGAAAGGAAGGGAAAGCTCCCATTCAGAAAAGTTATGAAAATCCCATGAGATTGTGTGTAAAGCTCACTGCGAGGTCCTCGTGGCCCAGCAGCCATTTCTTCCTCTTACTCTAAGCCATGCCCCACACTCACACAGCTCACGCCCTTCCCTGCACCTCGCCCACCCTTCTCCAGCTGCTGAACACTCCTGCCCACCTTTCAAGACCTAATTCATGCAACCCTCCAACCCTCCCCCATGAAGTTGTTCTAATTCTACCAAACAAGAGAGAGGGTCTCTCCCTCCTTTGAGCCCCTTCTTGATGGCTCCTTCCTCTGACATTGGTCCAGCCCATCTTGTACTACAATGATTTGGAGGCATGACTAATGCCCGTACAAGACTCCTTGAGAGTGGGCAGGTCACACACAGTTTTTACTCATCTCGGGATTTCCCAGGGAGTGCCAAGCACATAACCTGGCATAAGGTGGATCTCATGGTGGGGCCCACAGGCCATGGCAAGGACTTTGGACTTTGTTCTGAATAATGAGGGAGCAGGGCATTGGACAGTTTTAAAACAGGGACTGATGTGATCTGACATATATGCCTGGATGCCAGGTTAGGTCCCCGCTGAGAAAATCTCTTCCTCCATCTGCTATCCCGGCTGAACATAATTCCCGTTACAGCTCCATGACCATTAAAATGCATACACCCATTATATGGAAGTTATGCCTCAATTTTAAGTTTAAAAAATAAGGACAAAATTTTAAATGCAACTTCATGCTGGGAAAGATCAAAAGACATAAGGCAGAGTCTAGTGGCCAGTTTTTCTAAGCCAAGTCCACACAGTTAAGCATGGCAGTGCCCAGGCTTTTCACTCATAAAGCCCCTCTCGGTGCTGAGAGGAGTGTGGGGGCTGGCCAGACAGCACCAGCTCCCTCTGCTTCCGCTGACCTCTCTCTACAGCCTCCTCCCTGCACTAAAGTCCAGGGCTGCAGAGCGGCCTCTCTCCTTGGACCTGCACTGGGCCCTCGAGGGACTGGAAGAGACTTCTGGGACCATGGTTGGACTGAAGCCTTCAGAGATGCCTCCTACGACAGCTGTGAAGTTCCTGGGGGCAGGCACGGCGGCCTGTTTTGCTGACCTCCTCACCTTTCCACTGGATACAGCCAAGGTCCGCCTGCAGGTAGGCGCCCTTTGGCCAAGGGTCACTGCATCGAAGGAAGGGCTGAGCTCTCCACCATAGCACCTGCACCTCCTGCCAGCAAGCTCTTCCTCACGCAGAACCCTAAGCAGACCACGCACTCCACCGCTTACGACCCTGCCTTGCCGCCTCCCCATTACCATCGCCCAAGACAAATAAACCTTCTTTGGCATGATGTGATAGGGCACTTCATGGCCTAGCCCCACTTTGTAAACCATAAAGAGTGAAGTAAAAGGAATTACTGGGTGACCTTGAGGAAGCCACTGACCACTGTAGTGGGAAAAACAGTCTGCCCTCCCTTTGCTCTGAGAATCAAACACCACACACTGTCTAACAGCTTGTGAGCTGTAACTGCTGCACAAACCTGTTATTCCTATGGGATGTGACAGCTGTGGGCATGCTTGTTCTCGAAGTCTAGACCCAGGCAGTTCCGTCTAAACACAGCCCCATCCACCCGACAAGCTCCTCACACCTTTGCACGGGTGTCCCTCAGATCCAAGGGGAGAACCAAGTGGCCCAGAGAGTCCAGTACCGCGGAGTGCTGGGCACCATCCTGACCATGGTGCGCACTGAGGGTCCCCGCAGCCCCTACAACGGACTGGTTGCTGGCCTGCAGCGCCAGATGAGCTTTGCCTCCATCCGCATTGGCCTCTACGACTCTGTCAAGCAGCTCTACACCCCTAAAGGATCAGACCGTAAGTGCTCAGTACCCCGTGGACACCAGCATGTGGGTCCAGGCCAGGGCAGACTCAGAGGCAGGGCTGGGGTGTGGGGAGCTGGTAACAGACACTCAGGAGAAGACTCAGAGCCCCATCAAGAAAGCTCCAGAACACTGAGCCAGGAGAAGAGGCAGGCATCTGGCAGGGGCCCTGCACAGAACAGCATCAGGCCTAGAGATATACCAAGTGATGGGACACTGGCCCACTCTCTCTCCTTCTCCCCAGACTGCAGCATCATCACCCGGATTTTGGCAGGCTGCACCACAGGGGCCATGGCAGTAACCTGTGCCCAGCCCACAGATGTGGTGAAGGTCCGATTTCAGGCCAACATGCACCTTGGGCCTGGGGGCAACAAGAAGTACAGCGGGACAATGGATGCCTACAGGACCATCGCCAGGGAGGAAGGGATCAGCGGCCTGTGGAAAGGTAGGTCTGGACTCCAGTCTCAGGGAGCTTCCTTGGGAACAAGGCCTTAGGGGTCCCTACATGTCTAAATGGTAGCAACCTCGAAAAATGCTGGAGTCTCTCCCACATGGAGACCAGAGGTCCCATGAATCCTTGCAGAAGAAACAGTGACCCAGTGAAGGTTAAGAGCAGGACACCTGGGTCACAGCCCTGGCCCTGTACTCACTTGCTCTGTGCCCTCCTACAGCCTGGCCCTCCTCTGTGAAACCAGGGGGTTGGTCTTGATGTTCTCTCGGGCCGTGCCAGCACAGCACTCTGTCACTGTTCCAAGAGCCCAGCCTCCCTCTTCCAAAGGAAGACTTCCTTTTCTAACTCTAGACAAGTCTCAGGGAGGTATATGTAAATTTTGATAGATTTTACAGATTATCTCCCAAAATGTGGCCCAAACAAACACAAGTGGGCCTCTCTGCTTTCTGTCTATGAGGAGGACATGGGTAATCTGAGAGTTGTTAACACTAGGAAATGTGTAATCTGCTCAGCTGAGTGGACGGGCTCTCTGAGACCACTGGAACAGGGCACTATGCCTCCCAAACCAGGGCCTGTGGCCTTGCAGCCAGGGTTCCACTTCTCCTACTCCCCATTTATCAGCCCCCACCCTGCTTTCTAACAGGAACTTTCCCCAACATCACAAGGAATGCCATTGTCAACTGTGCTGAGATGGTGACCTACGACATCATCAAGGAAAAGCTGTTGGACCATCATCTGTTCACCGGTGAGGCCCTGGGCTCCAGGCAGACAGCTCTCCCACAGCAGGGAGGAAACCTGTAACTCCACATAGTGGGCACCACCCAGAGACAACTGGGCTTTAGAAGGAGCAAAGAGAGGAGCAGTGCCCAGTACATCATTGTGATGAGTAGGAAAAAGCCCTGAATGGGGAAGCCAGGGATCTGGGTTCCAGCCCACTACCAATTCTTACCATGTATCTTTAAGCGAGGATCCCCTACTCTGACTTCAGTTTCCTCAAACAAGGTGGTTGGGCTGGATGACCTTCCAACTCTGGGATGGCTTTGCTCTATCTTGCCAGTCCTTACCAGGAGCTCCACCCAGGGCAGTGAGAGATGGAAAATACTACCCTTATGCTCAAGGAGTTCACCATTTAATTGGGGACATATGATAGACACACATGGAAAGAAAGCAAGTGCACTTCCCATCTCACAGCCCCATCTTTGCTCTTCCCTTCCCTGCTACAGACAACTTCCCCTGCCACTTTGTCTCTGCCTTTGGTGCTGGTTTCTGTGCCACGGTGGTGGCCTCCCCAGTGGATGTGGTGAAGACCCGGTATATGAACTCACTCCCAGGCCAGTACCACAGCCCCCTGGACTGTATGCTGAAGATGTTGGCCCGGGAGGGTCCCTCAGCCTTCTATAAGGGGTGAGCCTCCCCTCCTGCCTCCCTCCATACTCCCTTCCAGAAAACTCGGGCTCTCTTTCTCCATCCTTCCTTCCTCTCTCCCCCTTCCTTCTTCCCTTTCCTTCTTTCTTCCTTCCTTCCTCTCCCCCTTCCTTCTTCCCTTCCCCTTCC